ACCCAATATATCGTTGTACTAAAAAAATAAAAAACTCAAATGTCACTACTACGAAACCATTTATTAGTGTCGGTACGATAACTAACCAGAAACGTATATTACTGTCGAATATTAAGCAAAATCCGACAAAAAATGGATGCAATGGCGGATATAATAAGTGACAGAATTGTCAGCGTCAGGAAATGAATTTTCTGTCTATTAAGGCTCTAAAATCGACAGAACTTGTGTCGGATATATGCGACAATAAATTCAAGTTTTGTATATCCTCATAGAAATTAGAGTGAAATATTTAATTAATTAACATAATATATACCTATATTACTAAATATTACCAATTTATGGTATATTAAATATTGTCAATTTAACATAAATATTTACAAATAATATTTATTTCAATTTCTTCATAACAATTTAAGTGAATAAAATAAACTATTTGAACACAAATATTCCTAATTTATCTTACTAATTAAATTAAAATCTCTAAATAAATAAGCTTGTGTGTTAAACAAACAATTTAAATGACACACCCCGATCCTAGAATCAAGGCGGCCGTCACGTGAGCGTGACGTAACCAAAAGTGCGACGCATAAGTAATAAGATAAGAGAAATACGAAGGAATAAAAACCAACTACTAGCAATAATATACAACTAACATGCTAGAGTGAGTTTAAGTATGAAACACACATATTCAGAGCATAAGTACTAAGTGTAGTCAAGTAGGACCATTACTAAATTACAACACCCGAAGGTGAGTCCTACATTTAAGTAGTCTGTCAGAACGTCGTGGGAATCCTCGTGAGCCACCAACACCGCTAACTAGAACCTGGAGGGGCACAAAACAAGATTGAGTGGGTCAGTAAAACAAGCTTTTGAAAACATTTCATTTAATAACATTCTAACCATTTGCTGTAAAACCTGTATACTTTCCCAGAAAATAACATAATATGCATATAATTCTTCAAATATCTCAAATCACCAATCTTTATCAAAAACCAGAAAGTATGCCATGCTATAAACGTCAACAACAGAATAAGAATGCATCAATATAACAGGTGAAATAATGAATCAACCGGAGACCCTGCAGTTGTCCTGTACGGTTAATTCTATAGCTCAATATCCAATCCAACCGGAGTCACCACTGTGACCTATACGGCACTACTCTGCACATAAACCGGAACTACCTAAAGTAGTATGTACGATAAGAATGGTGTAAGAATACGCTCTAGTGCTTCTCTCATCAACAGCTGTATAATAATCTAAGATCACCTATAAGTCGGAACCACCTCTAATGGTCTGTACGACATGTCGGAACCTTCTAATGGTCTGTACAACATGCACCTACTTGGATCCAAGGTGAGTGTATGGTGCGGGGTGAATAATATAAGCACTAACACCATGGGTGCAGGTTATGAGCTCTCAACACAATTCACATCATCAATAAATCATATGAACAATATAAACTCACCTGATACTCACATGTGCATCCATAACACCATTTAACATATATATGCAACAATTACTAATTCATATATTTCATATATATGTATGCATGGCATTTTAAAACATACTTTCATTTAAATTCAATTTCTGGGAAAAATCAATAGTATATAGGTAAATACATAAAATACTGCCCACTTACTGGTAAGTCGAAGGGTCGTAACCCCCGTGACGCCCTTGAACGCGCTCGTCCTCGCGATAGGTCTCACCTATATGCGAAACAACTATAAAAACGTTATTGAAAGCATACAACCAACAATACGTAATAACTTCTCATACGATGCTCAATTTAGGTATATGAATATACCACAGTGACCTACTCGACGTCACGGACGTCGAGGTATTTTTAGAAAAAATTTCCAACACGGCACACGCCCCCACGTGCCGGGAGGGGCACAGACCCACGCGCTCCCCACGCGCATCATCTTCTTCCTTCAGTCGCCAGACTGGTTTCGCCGGCACCGAAAAACTGGAGATTTTTCAAACTCCATTTTCTCCGTCGATTCTTCACCATTTTTTACAAAATTTACATCAAAATGAAGCCCTAAGCATGTAGAATCATGTTATACTACTTTAAGGCTAAAAAACATACGAAATCTCACCGGAGAAAATCCAAGAAAACCGGCCAACTTCGAACCCTACGATCCCGACGTCCAAAACCTTCAAACTAAGTACTCCGAGCTTCCTTGGGACCTCACTAAGCTCCCTGTAAGCTTAGAATTCCCTGAAAATCAACATTTCACGTCCACATGAACAGTACTCAAAAATGGGGGTTCGGGTTTCAGGAGTTTTCGAAGGTTCTAAGTTCCAAAAATGGTACCAATGAACTCACAAGCTTGCAAGGATGAAGGAACTCACCTTTTTTACTTCGATCCGTGATGTTTTGAGGGATTTTGGTGCTCGTCCATACGAGTTCGAGAGGGAGAGAGGAAGAGAACTGGGAAGGATGAGAGAAAGGGCACGGGTTGGAGAGAGGGCTTGTCCCGTGTGTGTGTGGTCCACCCAAAACAATCACAATCCAATTCCTTTAGGTCCCTAACCACACAAATTGTATACCATTTAATCTACTTAATTAAATTTTCCAAGAACTTAGGAGAGTATACATTTATTCGAATAACATGTCACACGTACCTTAATAGCCTTTAAGGGCAATTCCGTCATTTCACATCCACTATAAATAAATTTCGGGACGGGCTGTGACATTAAACATCAAGAAGTTCAGTAATAAAACCTCAACTATTGAAGAATTCCGTCGTCGATCTATTCTTTACGTAGTCAGGCAAGTAAAATAAAGCCCTGCAAAATCAAATATAAAATAAAAATCAGCCACGAAGTGCTTGATGAAGAAAGAAATAGAAGATGAAAAGTATGGAAGCAATAGAAATGAAAAACTTACGGTGAGGTGAAGAGAAGAAAAAGATTGAAGATGAAAATGAGCAAGAAGAAGAAATTTGAATGAACAACAAATTGCAAAGCTTTTGGCATAAAAATAATAAAATAGTAAATTTCTATCAGTTATAACCGCCAGAATACTAAAATAATAAAATAGTCAATTTCTGTCGGTTATAACCGACACCATTAACTTAAAAACCGCCAGAATCTGTTAAAAATATTATTTTTTAAAGAATTCATAAATACTAGCGGTTATAATAATTTTATGGTAAAATAATAACCGCCTGAATACTAAAATAATAAAATAGTCGATTTCTATCGGTTATAACCACCACCATTAACTTAAAAACCACCAGAATATGTTAAAAATATATTTTTTTTTAAAAAAGAATTCAAAAATACTGGTGATTATAATAATTTTATGGCAGTTGTATCCGACACTAAATATCCTCCAGGAATTTATGTTGGATATAACCAACAGGATTTCATTGTTATTCGACACTAACTGAATGATGTGTCAGATATCTTTTATCTGACATAATGGCTTATTAAACCGTCACCATCATCCGACACCTAAAGCTAATATTGTAGTAGTGTGTGTGTACCAAAATGTACGTACCGAAATACATGTATATGTTTGTATCGATGAAATAATGTACCTATATGTTTGTATTGATAGATATACCGAAATATTCAAATGTATTAATGTACCTAAATGAAGAACATACAAAATTGTTATCAGACTATATATTATAAAAAAAATAGTTGCCTAAATGTAGGAATTAAAATATATTATGATAAATGAAATGAAAATTAAATTTAAATGTAATTAATACATTAAAATAGGAATAAAAAGTTAAATAAAACATCAAAATATAACTAATAAATGAGAGGATTTAATGTACTAGGGACTAAAATTGAATTTTACTCTTACATAAGGTTATAGTCTAAAACTCATCTTTTTAAAAAAAAATTAAAATGAAGTTTTATACTGATTTAACAAGATTCTTTCTTTCCATTTAAGCTTGGTATTCACCACAAAAAGATTAAGAGCTTGAGATTGTCGGTTCGCAGTGAAAGGGTAAAGGAAGATGAAAATAGAAGATCGAAAAGGGCGTCCAAACTAATAGTAAATGATATTTTTTATTTATTTATATTCTTTCTATAGTGGGCCCAGATTAAATATGAACTAGTAATGCTAGGGAGATTAAATTTGTAGATAAATTTTTTTAAACTAAATGACAAGAAAGTAAAATGTTGGATCATTATTTAAGCGTTGATAAACGTGCTCATTCCTATTAGTGACACATCATTAAGTTTGTAAACTTTGTCTACAAATTTAGTCTCTAGATCATTACCCGATAATACAAATAATGGTACAACTAAATGATAAGAATATCATTTCCGCATAAAAAATATTAAGGAGACTTTCTCAAAAATGAAACTCTCAATGGACTTTGTTATCTCACAGTTTAAGATCAATTCTATGCTAACATTATAAAATATTATGCTAAAAACATAAGGTGGCAAAGAATCCACATAGAGTCCAACTTTTGAGATAGGCTCCTTAGCATTTTTTTTATTCACATTGGACCGATATATATGTTTATTATTTTAATGCAACTTAACATTTATAAATGAGTATTACTAAGTAGACCAATTTTTTAGATCAAAAATTGCAAATCATGTAATGTGACACTAATAAAAAATAAGCACGTTAATCAACACGTAAGTAATAATCTATTCGTCAATTTATGAACTTTAGTTCGAAAAGTTGGTCACCCTAACATTATACCCTTTATAAATCTCTTTGGACGGATCCATATTAGATATTTTTTATCTTATATGTTGTTAGAGTAATGATCACATTAGACTTATGTCGTCAAATAAAAATTATATTGGAAGATTAATGATCAAATTCAGACCACACGTTTAGATAAAAATCAACTTGAACAAAGATTTTGATTATAGCCTAGTAACACAGTCACCTTATAATGTTTATATTGCTTGGTAGATAGTAAGAGATTTACATTTTCCTATATGAAAATAACGCCTATAAAATTATAATTTTTCTTAGAAGTCTCCATCTATTACTCCTTGACACACGTTAGCACCCCACAAATAAAAAGGGATACAAGGTGTAAGAATCCCTTGTGCTCTACAGAGCTTCAGAGCTCTCTTGTTTCCGGTGCTTTCTCTCTTAATTCCACACCACTTCTTATTATTTATATTCTTGAGAGAGAAAGATATCTAGCTGGATATATTCAGTCATGGGAAGGGCTCCTTGTTGTTCTAAGGTTGGTTTGAATAGAGGTCCATGGAGTAACAGAGAAGACACATTACTCACCCAGTATATTGAAGCTCATGGTGAAGGCCAATGGAGATCCTTGCCAGAAAAAGCTGGTACACATAATTACTTATTGTTCATTTTCCACATTATTATATTACTTATGTATGAATTATTCTCCTCATTGTTCTGTAATTTTTTTTTTTATTTGTTCTTACAGTTATTTTTATCCTACATTTTTTGGTCGAATTATTCTGTTATTAATTATTGTTTTCCATGGTTATTTAGGCCTCCTCAGGTGTGGAAAGAGTTGCAGGCTAAGGTGGATGAACTATCTAAAACCAGACATAAAGAGAGGCAACATAACCTCCGATGAAGATGACCTAATTATCAGACTACATTCATTACTTGGCAACCGTTGGTCTCTCATTGCCGGTAGGCTTCCAGGTCGAACTGACAACGAGATCAAGAACTACTGGAACACCCATCTTAGCAAAAGACTCATATGTGAAGGAACCGACCCAAACACCCACAAAAAATTATCTGAGCCGATAGCCAAAGAAAATAAAAGGAGAGAGAACCAAAGTTGCAAGAACAGAAACAATAAGAAGGAAATGGTGAAGACGATGATGAAAAGCAAGACGAAAACAGGTCAACATGTGGAGCCACAAAAGCCTAAAGTTCATCTCCCAAAACCCACTAGGATTACTTCCTTTTTGTCCCTACCAAGAAATGACAGTTTTACTAGCAGCACTACAGTTACTACTGCGTCTTCAATCCAAGATTTAAACGGAGGAGGAGGAGGAGCTTTCGGTGTTAATCCATGGTGTAATAATGGGGTTGTGCTTTGTGTTGGTGATCCAGATCAAGATCCTATTAATTCTTCAGCTGATGGCGGCGATGATCACTCACTTGAAAATCTTTATGAAGAATATCTACAAGCGCTTCTCACAGACCATCATCACGATCATCAAAATCAACTTGAATTAGACTCATTTGCCGAGTCACTGTTAATCTGAAAAATATATACCCAATGAGTAAATTAAGTATTAGTATACGATAGATAAATAAGTATGCTTGTCCCGCGCAAGGTTTTCATGATAGGGTTTGAATTTTAGGTTTCACGTTCTTCCCGTGTAGTTTGTACCCATCTCTGTGTATGGACCTCTTTAATCTTTATTATATTTGTAATTATAATATTTGTTTGAGAAAAAAAAAAACAAATTTGTGTGAATATTTTATGTGATAGTGGCTTGGGCTTAATGTAAATTAGTTATTAAGAATCGAACTCAAGTTATGACCTATATTTAACTGACCGGGAGAGGGGGCCAGCAACACAGAGAAAATATAGAAAGAGAAATATAGGATGTGTTATTCCCCCTATGCAGTGCCTTTATTTATAGTAATAAGAGATAGAAGGAATCTTTCTCTTCCAAGGAATACAAGTCCTAATAGGAAAGAATAACTAGAATCAAATCTAATCGAGGATTTACACAATCACACTTAAATAAGAAGTTTATGACACTCCCCCTTGAGTGTGTAAATTTTCATGTAGATTCGGCATCATGTAGAGTTGAGGAAGTCAACTCGTCGGCACTGATTCTGGGAACACGCTATTCTCAAATAAGGTGGGAACTTGCATAAGGAACTAAGTCTCACAAAAAACCCTATGGCTATGGTAAAAAAACTCGAGTAAGGACAAAATCCATAGTCTAAGGAAAAATGCATGAGAAATGCAAAGTCAAATGAAACGTCTACGGGATGTCATCAGGGATACGATCAAACCAAGGTGGGTGCCTCATCAAAACCTCGTTAGGTAGCAAAAACCCAGTGGGAAAAATGCTCCTAATCGTAGGGAAAAAGAGTACATTAAGATCAAGCAAGTATACTTCAAGATAATCAAGTTTGACATAATTCCAAAGAGAACTAGCAATGTTACAACATAGAAAGTTTGCGAATACCAACTCCTTGAACAAGCTTCTAAAACGTCACCTTCGGTAGAGATTTGGTGAAGAGGTCGGCCATATTGTCTTGTGAACGGATTTGTGTGACTTCAATCTTCTGATGCTCTTGTTGTTTATGTAAAAAGATGAACTTTGGCGCAATATGCTTGGTGTTGTCTCCTTTGGTGTAACCCTTCTTAAGTTGTTCGATGCATGTTGCGTTGTCTTCATAAATTGTCGTCGAAACATCAACGACGGGGTAAAGATTGCAGGAGCTTCGAATATGGCCCATAACTGCTCTCAGCTAAAAACATTCCCCGAGTTGCTTCATGTAAGGCGAGAATTTCAGCATGGTTAGACGAAGTGTCAACTAAGGTCTGTTTAGTTACCTTCAAGAGATTGTGGTGCCTCTAACGGTAAAGACATAACTCATTTGAGAGAACGCATTGTGCGGATCAGATAAGTATCATGCGTCGGCATAACCAACAAGGCGAGAATCAATTCGAGATAAGGGGGTATGGCATCACTCGAGGATCCGTAGGGATAAAACAAGTCAAATCTGTAATACCCTTAAGGTAACGAAAGATGTCTTAACACCAATCCAGTGTCTGTGTGTTGGTGCATTACTGTATCTTGCCAAAAGATTAACAGCGAATGAGATGTCAGGTCTAGTGCATTGAGCTAAGTACAATAAAGCACCTATCGCACTTAGATAAGAAACTTCAAGCTCTAAAATCTCTTGATCATCCTCATTCGGACGGAAGGGATCTCGTTTTCCATCTAGCGATCGAACAACCATAGAAGTACTCGAAACTTCACTTTATCCTCGTTAAAGAGACGCAACACCTTCTGGGTGTAGTTCGATTGATGTACTAAGATTTCAACCTAATGGTGCTCTATCTCGAGACCGAGATAGTATCAAGTCCTTCCTAGATCTTTCATCTCAAATTCTGACTTCAGGGTGCAGCAGTTCTTACGAGCTCTTCAGGATTTCTGATGAGATTCATGGCATCGACATATATTGCAACAATCACAAAATCGAAATGTGACTTCTTAATGAACACACAAAGCATAATTCGTTGTTTACATATCCCTAACTAGTCAAATACTCACTCAGACAATTATCTCTGGATTGCTTCAAACTGTAGAGTAAACACCTTAGCCGAATAGAGAGTATGTTCCAAGGTTTGGAAATATTTGATCCAGTCAATGTAAGTCCTTTAAGAACTTTCATATAAATTTCCATATCAAGATCCCTATAAACATACACAATTACTACGTCCATCAGCTGCGTACTTAGTTTTTTGGAAACTACCAAACTGATAAGGTAGCGAAAAGTAATTACATCCATAACGGGTGAATAAGTTTTGTTATAGTTAATCCTAGGGTGTTGTGAGAAGCCTTGCGCAACATGGCGAGCTTTGTAACGCACAATTTCATTCTTCTTATTATGTTTCCGAACGAAAACCCACTTGTAGCCAACGGGCTTCACATGTGGAAGAGTATGAGCTACAGGTCCAAACACCTTACGTTTCGCAAGCGAATCGAGTTCAACTTAGATTGCTTGTTTCCAGTTTGACCAATCAGTTCTACATCAACATTCATCAACGAAACGAGGTTCAATGTCATCGCTCAACATGATCTCAGTAGCTACTACATATACTAATGCATCATCGACGATCATCTCATTTCTACACCAAACATCATCCAAGCTAGCATAATGGACCGAAATCTCACGATTCTAAAGAGGTGAATTCGTCTCTTCAAGGACGCTTCCATAATCTAGAATTTCCTCATGAGCTGAATAAAATGAGTAGGCAACAGTCGGATTCACGGTAGGCCCTTCAGATGCCTGTGTTGTGGGTTTCCTTTTTTGAGGGTGTGAATCCTTTAAACCAAGTGGTCTGCCACATTTTTGTGTATGGGCAGATGATTGGCTAGCCGTTAATGTTCATGGATCAGCCAAAATGGCGTCCCAGGCCTCCAGGAGGGAAGTCTGTCTTACATTTGGTACATTCATCTTTGCAGGTACATTTGCAGCTAGAATATGTGATCTTGTCAGTCGCGCTAGATTAGCGAAAGCATTTGGCGTACTCTGAGCTACAGTCTGAAGATCTAATATGCCATGCACTTCAATTTCAGACTAAGTTGTGTAAAGATCTAAATGAGACAAAGTGGGAGTCGTCCACGATAATTCGCATCATTCTTCAGAAACGTTGACGTTCTTATTTATCCCTAACGACAGGAAGACTGTCTCATAGAAGTGACAATCCATGAAACGAACGGTGAACATATCACCTGTCAAAGGTTCTAAGTAACGAATAATCGAAGGAGAATCATATTTGACATAGATTCTCATCATTCGCTAAGGCCCCATATTTGTACGTAAGGGCGGTGAAATCGGCACATAGATCACATAACCAAAAATACGCAAATGCAATATGTCGGGTTTGTATCTAGTAACCAACTGAAGTGCACTATATAGTTGGGTTGCAACAGACATCAGGCGGACCAACATTTGGGTGTTTAGTGCATGAATGTGATTTTGCATAAGAGGATTTCTAATGAGGAACACCAAGAGGTAGCTCAAAGCTTAAAAACAAGAGGCAGCTATAAGCTTGAAAACACTCTTGACAGAAAATATGAATCTCCTAGCCCCAAACTTAAAACAAAATCACAAAGACAATGCTACTCTAATATACAACGATTTGGGTGTTTAGTGCATGAATGTGATTTTGCAGGAAAGGGTTTCTAATGAGGAACACCAAGAGGCAGCTCAAAGATTTAAGAACACTCTTGTGAAAAAATGTAGAATCCCTAACCAAAGAGGATGAAAACCTTAGCTGAGGTTATATAGACAATATGTTTTTTGTACTTCCAAAAAGGACAAAAACCATTTGTCAACCTAGCAAACAATCTGAGCATATTAAGGGCCAAAAATGACCATCAGTAAAAAGGTGTCAGTCAACCTATGTGTGTTATCTTCATTTATGTGCCTAGACAGCTGGAAGTCAGCGCGCAAAATTGACGAGACAACCAAACTAGTTAGAATATAACAAAAATATAGACATGAAATGCACATGCATGGACAAACCTTTTGAAGTAAGATGTGCCACATTCTTGAACATTTCTTTCCAACAGACACAGCCCATAAACAAAGAATAGCCTAAAGCTAGATTGAGCATGTATGGTTCAATTACAATATTTGACAAGGAAAGCCAAACACTTAGCTATAGACTTCACAAAAACAAATGTATTTTATGAAATAATGTCATGCTAAGAAACAATATTTGTCAATTACTATTGCTTCATTGTGTTATAGTCTTTCATAAATGTCATTGTGGTTGATCGTCAGTGACAGCCGCTCTGTCTCCGTTTTGGGTCAGAGTGACCCGGCGACAAAGATACCTACCATCCACTGCTGAGTCAGTGGCCATTCCCAAGTACACTAGTTGCATTAAGCCAGGTGCCCCAATCTGCCTAGCTTGTTCACAGTCGGAGACGGCAAGACGCTGTGTCAACCCCTTGTTGACGGCGAAGAGGGCAATGCCAATTTGATTGTTGTGCACCCAATAGAAGATGGAAAACTCCTAACCAGGAAAAAGGTCAAAGTGCAGGGGATCGGTAGAGGCTGAGCATCCAACCAAATTGTCAGCTTATGGCAAAACAAGATCGTAGTTGGTTACAGCGCACTCCATCAACAAGTTAGCATGAAAGTCAACAGCTTTTTGACTCACGACATGGGTATCATCATCTGTACCAAGTGCCTCATGCTCACCTTTTCATGGAAAAAGCTCTCCCCCCAAGTGCATGAAGAGATGATGAGAGAGATTTCGATAAGTGGTTTATTTATATATTTATTTTTACCTTTACTTATTTAATGTATTTTTTAACTAATACACTTGTTATTTTTATCTATTTCAGACCAACTTCTCCATCAACATGCAGCACCTGGGTATGAAGGAAACATAAATTGGGTGTGGAATAAGCAGTACAAGGAGTGGAAGTACAAGCTGCACATGTACTACAAGACTTGTGCATCTCCTACTGAAGCTCCTATCAATCCACCTCCGAAGTTTG